GCATCAGGACTTTATTTCTGGATTAGTCAAGAAGGAATCCTCCTTGCCAACAAACTGCATTCTTCCTGGAGGGCTTTGCTTCTGTCTGTGCAGGGCCCTTAGAACTAGTCATACTGCTTTGCATACATTCAACTAGGTAACTCTGTTTATTAAAATATACATGAGGTACTGTATTCCAGTGTGGAATATCTTGGCTTCCTGCCTCTTCCGTGTTGCTCAAAGCCTTCTTGTTTTGTCCTGAGAAACTGGATGCTTTATCTCTAGCTACTCTTATCCTGTAAATGTACATTCCTCAGAAGCCTTCCAGTTCTTATCGATCGCTGCTTCTATGCCTACTTAGGGTTCTGACGTCCAAAACTGTTTGATTAAGACAAGCTCTACTTCAGTGGCTCTAATTCATTAACTGTTTCCTGTCCCCAAGATGTGGCTACATGGCAAGGCTGGAAATTTTACTACCAAAAGCCTGGGTCCTATCTAATTAGAGATGATGATCTTTATGCATGTTGCTAGCGATGAGTCAAGGTTCTGGCTGATCAAGGGCCTCCTAAGTTTGAGGAATAGTAGCTGAGGTTCAGAGAGTAGCCAGCAGCCAAAGGAACATGGTTTGAGACTACAACAAAGGTTGCAGTTTGCTGGAGAGCCCACATCCACTGTGCCTCAGCAGCAAGGCTGCTGCCTTCCCATGCCTCCTGCTTTGTTTCCTTTTCTGCTTCCTGGAGGTAACTTGAGTGAACAGTCTGTAATTGTCCTTCTCGCCCTGCTAGTCAAATCTGACTAACCAGCATTTGTCTCTGACTGGAGGCGTGTGTGTGTGTGTGTGTGTGTGTGTGTGTGTGTGTGTGTGTGTGTGTGTGTCTGTGTGTGTGTGTGTGTGTGTCGGTGTGTGTGTGTGTCGGTGTGTGTGTGAGACGGGATGTGGCTTCTGTACCTTCTATATGCTCATGGTGGCAACTCCTTCCCTCTACCTTTCTGCCTGGAGTTTCTGAGACACAGCTATGAAACCTGCCTTCTTAGGAGATATCAAAGGATGGGATTTCCAGGGTACTTCCCAGTGCTTTTGCGTTATGGAAGATGGCTTCCTAGGGGCTTCCCTGTCGGGATAGGGAGAGTAGAACAAGAGCTGCCGAGGGGCCCATGCCAGCAGAGCTTCAAAAGTAGTATCTTCCCTCTGCCTTGAGCCCTGGGAAGATTTCCGAGTGGCTCCAAACTGCTGTCAGCTGTATCCCTTAATGATCAGTCGGGATTTATGGTGAAAAGGTGGGCTTTGGGCTCAGGTTGAGCTGGGTTCAATTACTGACTTTTCTTTCTAATGTCATTTTATAGCAGATCCTGACTTTCCTTTTAAACTAAGAGTCTGTCCTTTCAGTTGTAGATGGCTATCTGTGTGAATCAGATTCCTGTTACCATAACAAATTACCTGAAACAATTACCTTATAAAGTAGAAAACTTGGTTTAGCTCACAGTTCTGGAGGTAGGGTCTACTAATTAGACTGGGGAGCATCTAAACAGTCCCATTACTTTAAGGCTGTGGAGGGGCTGTGGTAGAGATCATGTGATATAGCAAAGCTATTCACCTCATGATGGCTAAGAAGCAAAAAGAAAATCGGGGGCTGGCATTCCAATATCCTCCTTGTGGGCATGCCTCCATTGACCCGATGACTTCCTAATAAGACCCATGTCTTCAACAAGTTGAGGTTTGGGGTGGGGTACACATTAAATCCTAGCACTTGGAAAGCAGAGAAAGACTTTGACTTAGCAGGTTCCAGGCTGGCTGGGGAGAAGGCTCAGCTGATAAAGTACTTGCTGTGCAAACATGAGGATCTGGGTTAGATTCTGAGAACCCACATTTAAAAGGCCGGGTGTGGAAGTACATGCTTTCAGTCCAAGCCTTGAAGAGGTGAAGACAGAGAAACTCTCTGGCTAGTCTACTGTTCCAAGTCAGTGAGAGACCCTGTCTCAACAAACAAGGTGGGTGGCTCCTGAAGACATCTGAGGTTGACCAGTCTCCCCACGCCAGCACACAGGTATGCTAAGCACACCCATATATACACACATGCACTCACATGCACAAGTGGATACACAGCCATGTGAACTTACTTTTTTTTAATCACCCCTCCCCCACCCCACATGCTTTTCACCACTACCCAATATCAGGAAACTGGGCGCTAAGACCTTATTTAACACGTGGGCATTTGGGAGGTCACTCTAGATCCAAATGATAGACAGCCTATCTGTAGAGCTCCTGTTTCTTGGCGCTTTTCTTCCTCCTGGTCACAAAGTAATTTCAGGTTTAACCCTTATCATGCTGTGTGTCAGACTCAGTGACGAACTAGTTCATGCTCACTACTTAATTCTGAGGTGGTATTATGAATGTAATGTTAGACAGTTGGGACTGAAACTCACTGAGACAACTTGTATAAAAATCACACTACTTTTTTTTGTGGGGGGCAGGGTCTCATTTTGTGGTCCTGACTATCCTGTGACTCACTGTGTATACCAGGTTAGCCTTGAATTCACAGAGATCCACCTGTGTCTGCCTCTGGTGTTGAGATTAACGGTGTGCACCACCAAGCCCAGCTTTGCACAACACCGGGTGGCTAGTTCTACAGGGGTTAAAGAATCCAAGGCCTGTGATGTAGAGGGAGGGCTTTGGAATCATGTATCTGAGCTCAGTTCTGGGCTCTCTACTGGGTGTGGGGACTTATATAACTTCACCTTCGTCACTGTTGGAGGAAGAGGACTGCTCCGCGGAAGGGAACAGCCTCAGGAAGGAAATCAATGACTCTAATGCCTGTCACAGCACCAGGAAGCATCACCATTTCACCAGCACCCCCTCTGTCATCTGGCTCTGTCATCTTCCTGTTATCTCATACTGTTTCCTCCCAAGAGAGAAATGAGGCAGGGACACAAATAGTTGTCAGGAGAAAGAAAGCAGTGAAGTACTGGACAAGCAGACAGGCCTTCCTTCTGGAGTGATCAAGCAGAGCTTCATGGGGACAGTGACGTTAAGTCTGCACCAGACATAGTTTGCCAAGTTGCAGAACATAAAACAGATGGGAGATGTTCTGGACTTCACATCTGGCAACAGGCTATTGCAAAGGGTTGGGTGGTTGAGGTGTGGGAGTTCTGTGAGTGAAAGGGTTTCAGCTCACACTGCCATTTCTCAGGCTGTGCCCTGTACTTGGTTCTAGGCTAAGCCTGGGTTATAGTACTTAGACTCACACTGGAAGTTCAAAGAGGCTGGATTCAGTCCTCCTCCACCCCAGCTCCTACTCTCTCTGGTGGTTCTCAGGAGTCAATGTCTTCCTGATAGAGGAGCAGCCCTCATCACTCCTTTAGAAGGGTTGGTTGAAGGTCCTGAGGAGCCTAAGGACAGCCTATTCCTGCTCCCATAGAAAAACTGGCATGAGCGTAAGGCCTAATACATCCCTCCAGCTCCTCGGGCCAGCTGGGATTCTATTTTTAACCGGCACGGTCTTAAGATGACAGCTTGGAACGCCTTCTCCTTCATTTTCTTCCTTCCCCCAGCTCTTCACAGCCCAGAACCAGGGAGAAATGATGGATAGGAACGACCCTATAATGGTAAGGGGTCGTTGTCCCTTTGCACCGCATCATCTCCCTCCATCCAGCCTTTCTCTAAGCTAGTGGGTAGATGTCAGACAAGGCTAGTGAAGCTTTCCTTTCAGGGCTCCTTACTTGCACAAGCCATCTCCCAAGGTGCCAGGTAAGGACTCAAGATATTTTATGTCCACTAACTTTGTCTTCTTTTTTCTTAGCAAAAGTATCAAGATTTTGTATACCTTATGCTTCACAAAACTTGGGTCTGCCTGTCTCCACCTCAGTGTTCTCTTCAATATAGTTCTTCAAACTTTTAAAATGTTATTCTTTGATAATTTCCTACACAAATACAGTGTATTTAGATCATATTATCACCAAAGTCTGCTGGACTTCCCTTTCTCAACACTCAGTTGAGAGGGAAAGAGTTCATGAGGTTCCAGCTCCTAGCTGAGGAACCATTAGCTGTTATTTCTTATTTTAAAATGGTGAATTATTATTATGTGTGTACAGTGTATGTGTGAATGCGGGTACACATGCCACAGTGTACCAGTGGAGGCCAGAGATCAACTTTCAGGAGTCAATGCTCTCATTCCATCAACAGATCCAGAGGATATCACTCTGAGCACCAAGTACTTTTACCTGTTGAGCTATCTCTGGTCCACTGAAATTATTTCTATTTTCCCCTAAATTATTATAAGACATTTGGCAGTTTGAGTGTGTGTGTGTGTTTGTGTTTTAGGTCTCTGTGCTGGACAGTTTTTTTTTCAACTACAAGCTAAAGTCATCCAAGAGGAGAGAACTTCAATTAAGAAAATGTCTCTGCCGCCGCTGGACGTTAGTGGTGCATGCCTTTAATCCCATCACTCGGGAGGCAGAGGCAGGCGGATCTCTGTGAGTTTGAGACCAGCCTGGTCTACAAGAGGTAGTTATAGGACAGCCTCCAAAGCCACAGAAAAACCCTGTCTCGAAACACCCTCCCCCCCAACGTCTCCATGGTCATGAAAGCAGGAGAATTGGCCCTGCTCCTTGCTCATTGCTGCAAGGGGCGAACTAGCTAGGGCAATGCAGGAGAGGTCACCCTGGTGGTGAGGACAAGGGAGACCTGGCAGGCTGACTAACCCTGTAACTACCCAGGCCCAGAACCAGGGTTGTGAGTTGGTCACCCCATCATCTACCCTGTCTGTGACCTGTGTGAGTATGTGAAGGGGTCAGTCCTACAGACCTAAAGCTACAGGATATTCATGACAGAGGATAGCAACAGGATATCCAAGAGGAGTCCCAGTGAGGTCCCAACATCGATAGTGTAGCAGAAACCAGCGACCTTGAACCAGACCAGTGACTCTTTGCAATGACACTTGAAAGTAAAGATGTATGGACAAAAGAGTTTACTGTGTGACTCACTGTGTCACACTACAGCGAGATTTTTTTCTTTTCTGTTTTTCTTTCTCTTAAATTTTATTTTATTTTGGGGGGTTGCAAGGGCAGAGGGAGGATTTAAAGGGGCAGGGAAATGAATAGGATCAAGATACATTATGGGAAAGACACAAAGAATAAATAAAAATAAAGTTAAAAAACAAAAGAAAATGCCTTCATAAGAACTGGCTGTAGGCAAGCCTGTCGGGCATTTTCCTCACTAGTGATTGATGGGGGAGGGTTCAGCTCATTGTGGGTGATGCCATCCCTGGTGGTCCTGGGTTCTATAAGAAAGCAAGCTGAGCAAGACAAGCTGAGCAGGCTATGTTGAGCAGGTCAGTAAGCAATACCCCTCCATATCCTCAGCAGCAGCTCCTACCTCTAGGTTCCAATTTGAACTCAAATAATGGACTATGAAGTATAAGCCAAATACACCTTTTCTCCCCCAACTTGCTTTTGGTCATGGTGTTTCATCACAGCCACAGTAACTCTAAAACATCCCATTTCCCCTATCTATTGCCAGATAAAGCACCAAGGATCTTTCTTCTAATACTTTGCTTCTGGTTATTCTTGTCTATCCTTTCCTTCCTTTCCTCATCTGCTTGTTGTACCTCTCTCTCTCTCTCTCTCTCTCTCTCTCTCTCTCTCTCTCTCTCGTGTGTGTGTGTGTGTGTGTGTGTGTGTGTGTGTGTGTGTGTGTGTGTGTGTATGAAGCGATGAGGTTGCTGGTCTCTGCCTTTCTTTGGGGCTCAATGAATTTTATGGTCAAAAGGGAAGTTGGGCTCTGAGACTCACACTGACCCCCAGTCCTACATTCCATCCAGTCACCCTCAGGTCTCTTTGTTGCTACATTTAGTGAAGGTACTTCTATTCAACTGCATCTTGGCCAGTTTCTGAAACTAAAGGAGATCGAGTATGTAATAAAAAGACCCCTCTCTTCAATTAATTTCTATGTACCTGCCACAGTCTGTTGTTTCAAACACACACTAAATAATCTAAGTTTTATGTAGTCTTTCATCTTTTCATCAAAATTTTAACAAGTATCCATTAATAGAGTACTTTAACAATGGCATCAAATGGGAGAATGTACTCAGGAATCATGAAGTGTCATGGGTATCCCACCTGCCACGTTGAATCCCAGCAATGACATCACTGGAGTATGGGTAGGTTCAAGATGAGAATCGTGTGAGGATATACTCATCCCTGTCTATCCTCATACCAAGACATTTTTGCACAAGGTTGAACACAGGGTTAAGTAGTTGCAGAAGAAAATAGATGAAGAAGCCTTTACATAATCCACACTTGGTCACTTACCTCCCAATATTCAGAAAGTCCAAGAGGACACTAAGTCATTTATTATCTTATGAGGTGATCTGGTGAAGGAAGAGGGGCAGGGCCAGAGTCTCTAATGGAAAAGGATGAGGGGACCTTTCTTTGCTGAAAGGTCTGCATGTTGGGAAGGTGTGTGATTAAGCCTATTGATATTTTCAATGCTGGGGTGAGGAAAGGAATGATGAGGTCAAAATGGTGACAGTCTGCAACATCCTAAGTCAGTCCTACACTAGGCCATGGGCACTATAGAATAGTGCCAATAATGTATACATATGAGGAGCCAGTCAGCCCTTGTCAGAGCTCTTGTTGTGTGGGAAATTCACATCTACAGACATTGGGGTCATCTATCCAGTGGAGTCAGTGTCACGTGCCTAGGGTGGGACTCAGTCCCATATCAGAAGTGTGCCTTCTTTCTTGTGCGAGACTATCTATTTCAGGTGGAGCAGCAAAGATAACATTTTCTGTGTGTAGGGGTCTATCCATGCTGTCGGATGTCCACCTGGATTCGTCCTGGTGGTTTCATTAAGTGTTTGGATGGGTCAGCTTATAGGGGTCATGTGTCTTGTCTCACCCTCCACCCTTTCAACCCCTCAGCCAGGTCCCAGTGTGCTGATGGTGGTATAGCTTAGCCTGGACAGTGAAGCGATGGAGGGGGTAGGAGGATCCTCATCCGGAAGAGGCCGGGGGCGAGCTCGTGGAGGCCGTGGGCAACAGCGGACACATGTGTCCAGACAGGCCTGGCGAAAGCGGCGGTGCATGAAACAGTAGACCAGGGGGTTGACACAAGCAGAAGCGTAACTCAGCAAGTGAATGAAAGAGATAGGGGCCCCTGAGAGTGCCCGGTGTGCTCCTGGGCCATCGAAGGCGCGCCACGTGTTGGCGCTGTACACTGGCAGCCAACACAGGAAGAAAAGCATAACAATCACCAACAGCATTCGCACCACTCGTTTCTTAGCCAGCAGCTTGGCCTGGTTGGGTCGAGGGCCTGGGCCTGATCCAGGAGCGGGCGTGGCCAGAGCTGTCATCTCCAGACGGGAACGCGGAAGTTGCACGTAACAGCCATCGCTGTCTTCCCCAGCCAGGCTAGACTCCGGCCGGCAAGTCCCGTTCTGATGGACAGGCCCTGAGCATAGAACACAAAGGGTGAGAGCAAAGCTGAAGGTAGACTCCTCTTAAATCTCATTCCAACTTACACTCGATGGTCTTTCCCCACAGATCTTACCCTGGGCTCCTGCCCCCTTTCAGATCCACCCACTTAGGAGGTTATGGCCAGCACCAAAGCCCCACCCTCATGCATTTCACCCACCTGATGCTGTCCCACCGGGCAGGCCTCCTTGGTTTCGGACCCGGCTTTGGGTCTCACTGTCATCACCATCAAAGCGAAGCCCAAGGTAGAGCTCGCGAGAAATGAGCCCGTAGGCCACCGCCATAACCACGCCCGGGATGAAGAACAAGAACATTAGCAGCAGCACTGACCTGGAGACATAGCAGAAACCAATCACCATCTCCTGTGCAGCCAGTTACAGGTAGAGGAAGAGGCAAAAACTGGACTGTGTCCAGGTGGCGGAGGCAAGGGTAGGCTTGGGAGATGACGCTGACAAGGGTCCCCAAATTGGAATCCCAAATATGGGGGTGCAGAATGGAGTTTAGCGGGAGCATTCTTGGAGGAGCTGGAGGACTGCTCTGGGGAAGGGGTGTAAGCATCTGATGAAGATGGGGAAAGGGCCTCCTAAGGTTGGTTGGTGGGTGCCCTTACCAGGTTTGGCGTACACGCGCACTGGGCCAGCGATGCACGCACTGTAGTACTCGAGACCCCACTGGCTGTACCGCGGTGTACACAGGATAAGGTACCATAAGCAGTCCTGACAGAAGCCACGTTGCTAAGATCACCCGTGCTGCATGGGAGCGAGTCTGCCACACTCGTGCTTGCAGCGGTCTGCAGATGGCGCTGTACCGCTCAAGGGCGATGGCCACGAGATTTAGAGTGGACACACTCACTGACACTCCTAAGCAAGGTGAGAGGAAATGGTCACCTTGGAAACAAACACTCTACATGCTCACCAGTCTGATTTCCTCCACCCCCATCAGGGAAAACATTTCTATTTGTCAAGTACTTTAAGAAGGGAGAGGACCAAGAGGGAAATGTGTTTGTCTCACCTACCCATGAGGTAGGAAACGGCTTTGCAAATGACTGTGCCGAAGACGAACGTGCCCATGAGGTTGGGCAGGAGTGTGAAGGGCATGCAAGCCACAGCCAGCAGGAGGTCACTGACTGCCAGTGAGAGCAGGAAGGCATTGGTGACAGTTCTCAGGCGCCGGCTCAGTCCCAGGACCACAATGATGAGCACATTACCTCCAACACTCATCAGAAAGATCACGGCATAAAGGGTGACTCTAATGGCCAGCTCCAACTCTAGGCAGAAAAGAGAGGTAGCTGACTGTAGGAGGATTTGAGCACCATTCATTCAGACCCCCAATTCCACTTCATCTCCAAGCCATAATACCCAGTTAGATCCTGGCACCCTGAGAATACACTCTAAGGGACTATTTAGTAAATGATGACAGTAAACGCCTTACCATCATAAATGCTTAGTTGAGTTGGCCCAACACTACTATGTCTTAGAATCCTGTCTCTCCTTGTGCTTGGCTCCATGATTCCTCGTCTTTGCAAACACTTTAGGGACCTATCCCATCACTGGTTGGATGCTTTTCAAGATCACTAATCCGTAGATACCAGATTGAAAGGTCCTTCTCTGACCATTCCATTGTACTTCTATGTACCTTTGACCACCCATGCCCCTTAGAACCATGTTGGATCATGTCTGTGTTCTCTAAACAAACACAAAACAAAACAAAAGCAGCCCCTCCCCAATTAAAAAAAGGGAAAAGCCATTCATTGCTCTGTACTCTCTACAACCCCTCCTTCAGGACTGTCACCTCCTCTCAGTGCTGCACCCACTCAAGCCACTTGATGACTCAGTTTCTTGAATGCATCATGAGCACTCATGACTCCCTTCTTAAGTTGATTTCTCATCCTTGGAATGGATACTCTTTCATAAACTCCCTGCTTCCACCCCCAAAAAAACAAACTTTTCCTAAATCTGATAAATGCCTATAAATCCCTCATCTACCAAGAATCAGATTGATTGCCACCGCTTTGGAAAGGCTATCCTGAGTACCTCATTTGGCACTAATCTCCCACTCCTTTGACCCAAGCATGTTCTCTACTTACTTAATAGAACCCCCCTTTTCCTCTCTGAGTTGTGCTTTAATATTCTTCAAACATTCATTCTTACTCTGTAAACACTTGCAGAGGACTCCCTCTGTGTCAGGCACTGGGGACAAAAAGGTGGCTGGCAAACTCGCTGCCATTTGAGAGCTTACAGTAAAGAGGGAATCTGAGATACTTACACAGATAATTGCCACACAGTATGATAAGAAGTGAGGTTGAGAGATGTACAAGAGGCTGTGGGAGCCCCGGGAGGGAACCAGTGCTGCTGGGTGAGTCAGAAGGGCTCGGAGGGTGACCAATTCATCTGTATCATTGTCAATTGGGAGACAGATTCATCTTTGGACCTTTGTATCATAGACATGCAAACCTGCACAAAACTGGATTGAGTTGAAGTGGACTGAGTCATCCATACCCATGACCTCAGTGTCAGGGAAATGGGAATTTGAAGAGAGAAATCCTCCACCACTGTGGGGGTAGGAAGGGTCCAGAGATACAGTCTCCTCTTCCTTAAAGGCTCAGCTTGATTCTCTTAGTTGACTCTTGGCTTAGTTTCCAAACTGTATTTCTGTCTCATAATGATAACTAGATTATTTAAAAGTTCTCTATTTGTTAGATAATAAATACATTCTATTGATTAGAACTCTTTAAACAGGGACTGGAGAGCAGGTTTTGTTGTAGAGCATTTCTATGTTGGTTGGCTCACAACTGTAATCCCAGATCATGGATACTGGGAACCTGATGCCATATTTTGCATGTACTATTGCACACACGGCGCGCGGGCGCACACACACACACACACACACACACACACACACACTCCACTACTACTACTGTTGCTGTTGATGATGATAAAATAAATCCTTAAAAAGGGATTTTCGAACAGGACTTAACATTAACATTACTTATTTAGATCTCAGGATGCCTGAAATATTTCACTTCTTACAGCTACCTGAGGGTCCAGTCATCCATCATACTATTTCTTTCTTCTCCTGATCAAACCTCAGTCTAAACCCCTCTTTGCCCCTGACTCTATATTCCATCATGGCACCTCACTCTATTGTGCTTCTCTTTTTTGCCTGTGTATCTTAGGAGACACACATTAGAGGATCTTGAAGGGCCAATAGCAGAGACAGACTGATTTTGATGCAGTACTCTTGTTTTTGTATGTTTATTTTTCAAACTTTCTTCTTCCTTTTTTCCTTCCCAGTCTTTCTCCTCTCCTGCCTCTTCCTCCCCTCCTCCTCCTCTTCCTCTTCCTCCTCCTCCTCCTCTTCCTCTTCCTCCTCCTCCTCCTCCTCCTCTTCCTCCTCCTCCTCCTCCTCCTCCTCTCCTCTTTCTTCTCAGGGTCTCTTTAGGTAGTCCCGGCTGGACAGAAGTTCTCTATGCAGATCAGGCTGTCCATGAGCTCACAGAGATCCTTCTGCATGCTAGGATTACAGGTGTATGCCACCACATCTGGCTCAAACTATGTTCTTTTCACAGGGACAGATTATGGAAGGCTTATGTGTGACAAATATGAAGTGCATGAGAGGTGTGTGTGTGTGTTTGTGTGTTTGTGTGTGTGTGTGTGTGTGTGTGTGTGTGTGTGTGTGTGTGTGTGTGTGTGTGTGTATGCAGGGACTCTGGAAGAAAGATCTTTGTCAGAGAGGCCCTTGGACCCAGGAGGAAAAAAAGCAGGTGACCTGTTTTGCACCCATTGTTTTCTCCAAGTCTCTTTCTTCATCTCTACCCACCTTAACATCTTCACTTCCCTCATCTTTCTCACATCATCTTCTGGATCTTTCTTCAACTAATTCTTAGTGTAATCACTGCACTTCAGGCTGTGTGGCACTTTGAACTACACAAATATTTAAAAACTTGTGTTTCACCTAGTCATTCAATTGATACACACCATATGTGTGCTCTTGACCTTGGCTAGTGGAGACCAAAAAGACAAAACTAGGCTTCCCCTTTATGAAATTCTCAATATATGTGGAGTTTTCTGGAAACAAGAGGGTAAAATTACAGTATGGCAAGCAATTGCATAGAAAATGTTTGTGAACATGTAAAGTGAGTGACCTTTGTAAAAGTGTATGTGAGATTTTAAATGTATGTTTTTAGCATGTGAGCATGTTTGTGTGTGTGTGTGTGTGTGTGTGTGTGTGTGTGTGTGTGATCATCCAGATGATGGCAGAGAATCATAAGCACAAGGATCCAGACAACAACTGAAACAAATGATAGACTTAAGCTGAGGAAGTGACTCAGTTGCCTGGCACCCTTTAAACCAGATGTGGTGGCACATGCTTGTAATCCCAGGGATTGAAGGCAGGTGATCATGAGTTCAGGACCAGCCTAGGGTACATGATAGCCTATGAACAAACAAAACAATACAAAACAAAACAACGAACAGGGTTTTCTAAGAAAAAAGTCACAGGAACTGAAGCTGCCAATGTCTTCACCTGGTATGCTGTATCTGGTTACTCACGAACAGAGATGACAGTGTAACACTCATGTATATTGCTCTGTGGTGTGTAAGTGTCGTTTCCAACTGACTGGAGGAAATAGCTGGTGCATGGGAGACATCCAAGTGTCAGTGGCACTGAGCGAGGAAGTAGCGGTATTGTGCAATGGTGAATTGGAAATAGCAGAACACAGCAATGTTTCAGAGTTTGAGAATAATATAGAGGCAGGTGAAGGTAAGCCCTTGTTTCTTTGAGAGATAGCTGGAGAAAGATAATATCTACATGTCTAAGGGTTGACATATAGCTGTGTTTAAGTTTAAAGAACACCCGAGTAACTGTGATGACACTGGAGTAAACAAGGACAATAAGTAAAACTAAATAACATTTCAATTTGTAGGTGACATCTGCAGGAAGCATGGGTTACATGCAGAGCTCTGTATGTGAATGGGGAATGATCAAGTGATGGTGGTTCTCACTGAGGGGGTGGTAGTAATATCCAAGCTGTGTAGGCACTACTGAAGTGAGTATAAATGTCAGACATTAACACATTTAGCTCAGTTAAGATGTTAATCTTGATGTGTGAAATAGCTGAGAACACGAGTGAACATAGAGACTCTCTCTGCATCTTTGCTGAAAATATCTGTGTGCTTAAGAATGACACTGCATAACTTTCTGGGTAATATCCAGAGAAGGTTTACTTAAGCAGTCATGGGAAAGATATGATATTTTGTAGGTAATTATAAAATGAGAAGTATGCGACAAACAAATAACCTCAAAATGACTATGGACAATACTAATGTGTGTGTGGATGTCACCCATTTGAATATGGATAGCATCTGAGCTAATGATAAAGTTACCTGTTTGTCTAAAACTAAAGTGCACAGCATCCAAATTTCTCTTGGTAATATTGTGGTGAGTTCAGGTGACAAATGCATCTGTAGGGTAGGTACAAGAGCCCGGGTGGTATATGCATCTGTGGGGTAGGTACTGTGAGCCCGGGTGACACGTGTGTCTGTGGGGTACTGTGAGCCCAGGTGGTATATGTGTCTGTGGGGTATTCTTCCAGTGAAACTGGCCAACACTCTCTGCATGTGGTGTCTGGGCATCTGGATAACAACCTGGTGTGTCCAAGCAACAGTATCCAGATAAATGAGGCCTGTCTTCGCACTTGGGCTCTGAATCGCTGAACACCTCGTTTCTTCAGGGAACCCCCCCTCCTCTACAGGCTGCCCTCCTTTGTATCAGAACCTTGAAATACCTCTCTTGATCCTTCCCTGCTTTTAAATAACCAGTGTGTAGCAAATCTGTAGTCCTTGCTACTCAAAGGGCAAATGCAGAAAAACTGTTTGGAATCACCATTTTAAGATCAACAAATGAGACCCTGTTTTCAAAGAGGGGGGAGTGATGTTCTGCTACAGCCTACTCTTCCTCAACCCCATAAAAATTCTACCACTGTTCTATTTCTCTTTTCTTGGACATTTCGCCTAATGACTCTTATTCACTTCTTGCAATCTCTTCCCTGTGGCCCATTCTTCCACCTTCTGAGTCAGGTCTCGGTACCCACATATCCTCCCAAGAACTAGCTGTTGTGTCTAAGCAATACCAGTGTGGTTGTTTTGTTCATCTCTGACTAGTCAGAGCAACATTTGGCATCACTTATTCCACCTCAGTCAAGACTCTCCTCTCCTTTCTGCAAAGACACAGCTACTGTTTCTGATTCCTTTCAATCTCTTCACGAATGTCCTCCCTCTGCTTTGCTTTTCAATACCTGTCTTCTGTAGGGCCCTGTCTCTGCTTCCTGGTTCTTATTTTATACAATGCTTTCTAAAAAGATTTTTTTCCTTTTCTTGTGGTTTCCTGTATTCCCTCCAGACGAAGACTTTTCAAGTCTGTACTTCAAGCTCAGCCCTCTAAGGTAAGTTCTAGATCTCTGGATTCAACAGCTTTGGGAAGTTAGCCATCAGTATTTGAACTCCATGGATTCCCAACTGAGCTTATAGTAATCCCCTCTTCCAAAACTGCTTTTGCTCCTTTGTTGCTGGGGACTGAATCCAGGGCCTTGCAGTAGCTAGGCAAGTGCTCTAATATGAAGTGCATATCCAGTCCCTCCTTGATTATCTTTCTCATGATACGTCCTTTCCATTTCCTAAACCAGAAACTGGATTTCATCCCTTGACCTCATCCACCCTCTCTACTTCTAATCAATCATTAGGTTCTGTTGATTCCATTTCCAGAAGTGGCTCTCAGATCCATCCACTTCTCTTCATCCCCTCTGCCAGTACCTCTGTCTATGCTAGTATCATCTTTCAGCCAGATCTGTGTAATGTAATAGCTTTCTAAAGTATCCTTCTTCAGGCCATCTCATCCGCCCATCCATTTTTGACACAACGCAACTAACCCTGCAGCACTATTGAATCCTTCAGTGGAGCCTAATGCTCAGGATAAAATCTCTCCATAAATACTCCATGCTGGTCAAACATGAGTGTTGCTTTTGTACCTTTAATGGTACATCTTCCAGCCATTCAAAAACTATGTTGTGGTGAACAAACATGCCATGGGCTTAAACTTAGAGCTTTTTAGACAGTGCATCTTTGCCTAAGACGCTTTATGCCTCTTTGTCTCTTCACTTAGCTCTCCATCTGTCATATTTTTCTGCTTCAACGTACTTCAGGAAAGCAGTCTTAATTCCCAAGGGTATGCCAGGCTGGAGGTGTTCCTCTTGTATATTCTCTCTTTCTCCTCTCTGTGCTGCCGTTCCTTGCTTACTTGCCTGTTTCCCCTATAAACTCAGAGCTCCGTGAGGTAGGATTGTGTCAGTTTTGTTAAACTCATATCCTTGTTGCCTAGCACAGTTTCTGGTTCAATAAATATTTCCTGAATGAAAACAATCTAAGTGACAGTGGGTAACAGCCAAACTGAGAAAGCATGGATTTTTTTATGGGGGTAAGTAAATATGTAGATTATAATTTATTCCAACGTTTACTTCTTGAACACAGAAACCAACTCTTTCCCTTTCCGTTTACAGAATCCATGCTCCTGGGTTACACCCTTAGTGAAGTTATCAGACTCTCATCTCCTTTGGGTGTCCATACTCCAATCAGACCCTTTTGTGGGACTTCCAGGCTGTGATTTTCCCAGTGGTCTTTGTCCCTGTGTACCTGATGCAAACTGATGAGACTGCAGACTGTGTCTGGTCCATTCCAGTGTCCCGGTGTTTAGCTTAGCAAGTGTTCATTAAACATCGAAAGTAAATATGGGTATGGGAAGGGGGAAATTCATTTTAGAATGTTCATTGAAACAATGAAGATGTTAGCTGCTGGGGGGGAGGGAGAGTCACTTTGAAGCCAGGATGAGTGAAAGCAATGGGAAGGGAGGGGAAGTTGGTGACACACAGGGATGGGGTGACTGACACAAGGGGAAGTTGGCTCCAGGAAAGTGAGACACAAGAAAGGAGATACTTGGGATCTTTGGAAAGAACTCCAAAACCTTCAGAAAGACAGAAGAGGCATGGAGATAGACGAAGGACTTGACTCCGGAGCAGAGGAATTTTGGGGACAAATAAAAACAAGAAAGCCGGCAGCATCCTCTCGTGCTAGCTAAATTCAGCTTTGAGATTCTTTTCTTGGGAAGGCTAGGGTGGGGTAGGGTGGGAGACAGAATACAGCTTCCATCTCCCATTCAGGCAGTCCAGGGAGCTCCTGCCCTCACCGGCCCAGCTTCCCCTCTCTTTTGCCTTTCTTTTACTGGCTCCAATCTCTCCAGTGCTGGCTCTGTAAACTGGCTGTTAAAGGGAAAGAGCTAGACCTGCTGGCAAGAAGAGGTCCTTGCTTCCCAGCTGTATGGCGCTGAGCTTGGGGATGAACAAAAGTCATAGGTATAGTAGAGGTAGTGTGAGGCCAGGGGCTCTGAACCAGATGATGTGAAGGTGTGACAGAGTTAGGAGAGCTAGGAGGCACAATGTATGGAGGGGAGGGATCTGTGTGGAAGCCAAGGAAGTACTACAAGGGAAAGCAATGGGCAGTTGACAGTGTAGAGGTCATGAGGACTATCCGTTGGTGCTATGGGTTGCAGTGAGAAGGGCTTAGGGGGGCACCCACCTCTGGTCCCGGTTCCGCGGAGGCGAGGGGGCTCGCAGCTGAGATTGCCCGCGCTGCTGCCGTTGAGGAGGGGGACACCCGGGGGGCACAAGGAGGACTCCGGCCCCGGCACGGGTCCTTGAATAGTGCGGTTCAGCTTGAGCAGCTCCATTGTCCCCGTGAAGACCCACTCAGCTCCTCCAAGTGGGCTACAGCCCCGGTTCCACCTGCTCCCGGAGCTCTGGTGGCTCAGGCTCCCGCCCACCACATCGCCCGCCCCTCTTGGTTCCCGCCCCCTGCCCTGTCTCCTACCCTTCCACTCCTCTACAAGCCTGGCCTTGGCTCCAGCCGGTCCCAGGCTCTAGCCGGCTTTTGTCCCACCAGGTGACACTTGGCGCGCCTCCCCCGCTTCAGAGTTCCGCGCGCGCTCCTGGGTGACTGCTCTCCAGGCTCGCCCCCGCGCTAGGTTCTCCCGTTTTCTCTTAGAGATGTCTTTCCTGCCTACCTCTCATACCACCGCCTCTAGTACTGAAAACGTGTGTGTGTGTGTGTGTGTGTGTGTGTGTGTGTGTGTGTGTGTGTGTGTGTGGTGAGTACCCAATGACGACAGGAGTGAGTAGCTGTTTCTGTGGGGTCCAGCGTCTTTCTTTGGTGGTTTAGAAGATGTTGAAGTGGCGGTGGTGATACGGTTTCTGTCCCCGGCTACCCCGGCTAAGTGCAAGTGCCTTAACCCTCCAGGAGCCGCAGTTACTTTGCTCTGCCGCAGTGGCCGCAGTGATCACCACAGTATCACCTCACTACCTTAGCTCTCTGCAGCTCTTTTATAAGGGCTGGGGTAGTCTTAGCTTCTGCCTCGGCACACCTCACCTCCTATTGGAACCCCAAACCTAGGCTTCTGCTCCAGGACCTCCAAGAGGATTCGAGAGGGCTGTAGTTGCTCACAACCGAGACTGTACACGGAAAAAGGCTGCCTCGCGTTAGCGTGGCGACCGGGAATGAATGTGAGAACCGCACTAAATGAACCGAATTGAGTTGTAGTAGGGTTCTAGCCCTGGTCCCGACCCAGGCGAAAGATGGGGAGCAGGCAGCTTGGTCATCTCCCTCGTCTCTAGGCAGCGTCCATCTCCACTCAAAACGCTGGCGCTCCCTGTTTGCCCTCAGCACAGGTGCAGCACCGGTGTAGGGTGCTGGGTTCCCACGAGAGGGGGCCGGAAAAGGACTGGGTCACTGGGGTGTAGTGGAGGGGACAAAGCAGAAGGAGCATGTGGAGTGCAAGACTGAAGTGGACTCCAGCCGTGTTTCTTTCATTCTCTTCCATTCCCAAGAAATCCCAGTATGAGATGTAATATCTTTTGGGCTCCCAATGTGGCTGTCAGAAGTCGGGGCGGGCATCAGTGGAAGAGGGAATTAGAGTTGGGTGAAGTCTGGGGTGAAGTGGGGGGTTGAGGGTTAGTATCCTTTGCCTGTTTTGGAAAGGACCTGATCAGGCAGTGCTGAGTTCCTAAGGGCTGAAGCACTGGGGGAAGACATAAGCCTGGGATGTCATCACCCACTCCATCCTGCTCCACTGTCCAGCTTGCTCTTCTGAGAGCCCAGCATCAGAGGAACTTGATGCACTGTTTGTTCAGCTCCAGCACAGGTGGTATCTCTGATAATCCGATGAACTTTTCCCACATTGGATGACGGTAGCATTGAGGAACAAAGGGACAAAGGAAGTGCAGGGGGAGAGAAAGATGGAAATAGACGTAGATTGCATTCACTTATCCAACAAAGGATGTATCTAGCTATCAGTTATGGGATTGTGCACCATTTTCCCACGCAGCCAATCAGTCCCTGAAGAGCTCCCACTATAGTGGGGATTTAACCAAATAAGCCAGAGATTGCAATATACAACCCTACGCACAAACATTAAGATGCAAAAAATTGAAAATTTAGGAATTAGGGCTAGAGAGCTGGTTCAGCTATTAAGAGCATTTGTTACTTTTACAGAGGACCTGGGCTTGGTTCCCAGCACACATTTGGTGATTCTCAACTCCAGTTCCAACAGATCCACTGTTCTCTTCTGGACTTTGTGGGCACCAGGCACTCGTGTGGCATACATAAATATGTGTAGACAAAACACACATACACATAAAATAAAAATAAAAGGAAAACCTACGACTCATTCTTACTCCTCTATGCTCTTCAACCCCTGAAATGGAACTTGTGACTCAAAGTACAGATTCCTCAAAAATAAAGGATTCATTGCCTAGAAGACAATGCTCAAGTATCCGTCTCCTGCAGAAGTTGTCACAGCAGCGTACCAACTCCTTCAGCATCACCAACTCTTCCTGGGGTGTCATGCATCCAGTGACTGATCAGCACAGAAGGAATGACCCTATTTTCCTCATGCCACTGAAGGTCAACCTCTTCACAGCACCCCAGCTCCCCTTTTGAGGCTGGCTACGGGTTCTGTCAGGTCTGGATTACTGCTCAGCCTCTCCCATTGCTCAGTCCTATTTTCAAGCTCTCTTGCACAGGTGTGGACTTCAAGAGTACTTCTTAGTAAACATCCTTCATAGTAATCTCTGTTTTACAGTCTGCTTCCTGGAGCATAGAGCTACATCGCACCCACATTCAGTCAGTCACAAAGTCCTGCTGATTTTAACTACTGAACAAATCTGCTTATTATCAACAGTCTCTTGTGCTACAATCCCAGGCTCCTAGGACAACTACCACACTTTTGTGGTGCCTCTTTTTATCCAATCCTCTACCTTATGACCAGAGTTCTATGTTCAGAATACCATTTGAGTTATGCCAACTTACTGATCTTTGCTTTTAAAAGAGAGGAAATCAGATCGATGAAGCCTGCCTGGCCTGGTTTCTGCTGTGGCTCAGTAGTTTTCACTCCCTCTGCTGAACATACAATGGCCTTCCTTAAGTGCCCCTCCACCTTTTTCTATGCATTTCCTAGTCATACGGATTTTGCGTATGCTTTCTGGAAGGTCCCATTTTCCATTTCTATCTGATATCATGTAGAGAAGCATTCTGAAAAGATGTTTTCCTGACTCTCTTGGAGAGTGATCTCTAATCATGTTCATCCTTGTGTAATTACCTCTAGAGTCTATTTGGAACAGTGAGTACAGTGAGGTATTAGCTACATGACTACATTATGTGAGAACAGAGATTTTGCAGGTGGAATCAATGTCACTAGTCAGTTGCTCTCAAACACAGAAATTATCCAGACAGTCCTACTCAAATCATACAGGTCCTTTAGCAGCCAAGAGTTTTCCATGGCTGGACACACAGCAGCAGAAATCAGATACTTGAAGAAGGAAGTGAACATTGAAATAGGGTCCCAGGTATCACTGGCTGTCCTGGAACTCACTGTGTAGCTGAGGATGACTTTGAACTCCTGATCTTCCTGCCTTCATTTCCTCAGTGTTGGAATTTCAGGACTGCACCACTGTCCTATTTTTTTTGGTTTTGTGTTTCATTTTGTTTTTGTTTTGTCAACTTAACCATAAGCTAGAGTTATCTGGGAAGAGGAACTTTATTGAGAATGTTCTTCCATCAGATTGCCTGTAGGCAAATCTATCAGGTATTTTCTTGCTTAATGATTAATATGGGAGGGCTCAGCCTACTATGTTACCACCCTTGGGGAGGTAGTCCATGGAAGTATAAGAAAGCAGGTTATGAAAACCATGGGGGATCAAGCCAGTAAGCAGCATTCTTCTATGGCTTCCACTTTAGTTCTGTGTCCAGATTCTTGCCTTGAGTTTCTGTCCTGACTTTCTTTGATGATGGACTGTGATGTGGAAGTGTAGGCCAAATAAACTCATTCCTCCCCGAGATGCTTTTTATCATGGTGTTTTAGCACAGCAATAGAAACCTAAGACATCTACCATTTTTAACTCAGTACATTACTAATTTTTTGTCTTTTTTAATTTAAATAAGAAACAAGCTTGCTTCACATGTCAATCTCAGCTCCCTCTCCCTCCTCTTATCCCTCATTCCCCCACAACCTCCCAATCCCCCATCCAATCCTCACTTGGCTCCCCAGGGAGGGTGAGGCCCTCCATGGGGGATCTCAGAGTCTGTCATTTCATCCATGGCAGGGCCTAGGCCCTCCCCGATGTGTCCCAGCTAAGAGATCATCCCTCAGTGTGGGATGGGCACCCAAAGTACATTTGCATGCCAGGGATAAATACTGATCTACTACCCAAGGCCCCATAGATTGCTAAGGCCGCTTCACTGACACACAAATTTAAGGGGTCTGGATCAGTCCGATGCTGGCCTCTCAGCCATCAGTTTGGGGTCCAAGAGCTCCCCCTTTTGAGGTCAGCTGTCTCTGTGGGTTTCACCAGCCTGGTCTTGACTTCTTTGCTCATCACTCCTCCCTCTCTGCCACTGGGTTCCAGGAGTTCAGTTCATTGTTTAGCTGTTGGTGTCTGCCTCTGTTTCCATCAGCCACTGGATAAAGGTTCTAGGATGGCATATAAGGTAGTTGTCAAATTCATTATCAGGGATGGGCATGTAAGGTAGCCTCTCCACTATTGTTTAGTTTGCCAGTTGGTGTCATCCTTGTAGATCTCTGGAAATCTCACTAGTGCCAGATCTCTCCTCAAACCTATAATGACTCACTCTATTATGGTATCTCTCATCCTGCTCTCCTCTATTCTTCCCCTGACTCAACCTTACTGTTTCCCCATGTCCTCCTCTCCCCTCCTTTTCTCCTCTCTCTTTTCCCCAGCTCCGACTCCCCTCTCCCCATGCTCCCAATACACTCAAGAGATCTTGCCCCATTCCCCTTCTCTGGGGTACCGTGCATATCTGTCTCTCTTAGGTTACTCCCTGTTTCCGAGACTCTCTGGCAGTGGGATTGTAGGCTGGCACTCCCCTGATCAATGTCTAATATCCATATATGAGTGAGTACATACAATGTTTCACTTTTTGTGACTGGGTTACCTCACTCAGGATGGTTTCTTCTGGTGCTGTTAAGTTGCCTGCAAATTTCAAGATTCCATTGTTTTTTCCCAGTGAGTAGTACTCCATTGTGTAAATGTACTATATTTTCTCTATTTACTCTTTAGTTGAGAGACATCTAGGTTGTTTCCTGGTTCTGGCTGTTACAAATAATGCTGCTATGAACATAGTGGAACAGACGTCCTTGTTGGATAAATGTGAATATTTGGGTATATGCCTAAGTATGGAATTGCTGGGGCTTCTGGTAGACTGATTCACATTTTCCTGAGGAATCTCCATACTGATTTCCAAAGCGGCTGTACAAGTTGG